AAACAAAGTTACAGTTGTTTCTACAATAAACATATACACAGCAGTGTAATTTTGCGTTATGATGACCTATGTACAAACGACCTATTGAACCATTGTAACAGGGCCAGTAAAATGCCTATTAGCTTGAACAGAAGTTTTTTTAAACAGTGCAGTTACCCAAAGAAAAGGTGAGATCCGACTCCAGTTCATTTAATTTTTTCAGAAGTTCTGTATTGATTTTTTCTAGTTCTTTTTCTTGTTTGTCGTCATTCTTCCCATCGCTGTGATAGTTGTATCTTAAAACCAAGCCAGAAGAAAGTAATTTCACTTTACAGTACATACAAAAATATATCGACATTTAGCATGTTTCTACCAAGTTCTGTATTTTACAAACCAAAAACCTCAAAATATTACAGCTTAGATCAACAAGTTCCTTGGCATTTGTCATCAGAGATTTGAGAGTGAGGGGAGGTTGCTGATGCACGCTTAACTGAACACAACAGATTTCTAGGTAATATATTGATTATGCTTCAATTGTTTTGACTCTACAGAATCCTCCCCAGCAGACAGTATCAGAGGATCAGAACAGACATTTGAAGAGTTTTATTCAGTATATTAGTGAATCTCATTATAGGTAAAAATCTAAGTTACACAGTAGGATGCACTTGCATATTACAAATCCATCTAACAGTGGACACTGCCTCCAATACTAGAACTGTTGCTCTAATTTTGCTAAAACAGCTCTTCAGCTTTTCTTAAAAAACAATATGAAAATCTCAAAATAAGCAATATTAAAAAGGTAATTTCTTAAAAGGCACTCAAAAGCTTCAACTGCGTGTAAAGCCAGATACTAATCAGCATACAGTACATACAAATCTCCACTAAAGAGATCACATATTCCTTTCTGTTAATGCACAGTCTATCCAAATTTCCAATGAAGAAAATACTGAAAAGTTACCTTACAACACCTAATCCTGGCCAGCTGAGATCTTCAATATACAACAGGCCTACAGTTCTTCTCACTTCTTGCTCAAATTCCTCTCTCAGTTGCAGTGTACTTGTCAATACAGGTATCTTCATTTTTAAGCAGTCTACTAACTGATCAACATCTTGTATTTCAGTTCCTAAAACTAAAGAGCTGATGTGTTAGTGTGTGATAAAAGTGAACGGACATACACATAGATGTCTGAGTTAAGTAAGTAATCTGTAAAGAAGCCACTCTAAGTCAAAGATAAATGGAGAGTACTGAAATATCTTTATCTATATAACAGTGTTTTTTCTTCAGTAATCTAGCTACTGATACATCAAAATGGAGAGTGCTAAAGATTTCATAAAAAATAAGCTAATGAAAAGGATTTTCTGGTGTTACAAACTAATAAGGACAATACTCTTTTGCATTACATAGGTAGCTAACATTAGAAAAATTCCTCTTCCCATAGCCAAACAGATAACAAATGAGCTTCCATGCTGGTTTGCTTGTTTGTTTTTAAAAAAGAGAGAAAAAACAATCATCACAGCATCACCAAGTAATTTTATTCTAAAATCTACTTTTCAGTGTACACCAGGATCCTCTCATGTCAGTGTCAGGTGTTTTGATAGCCTAAGCTATTCATGCCGAAAGGAGACACCACGCATCGCCCTGAGCCCCTGCAAGTTGCTCTGTGCATCTGCTGAGTCTAAACAAAGTACGTATATGGTGCTGGCTTAAACAAAATAAGCCACTTTCCAAAACACAGATTTTATTTTTTTTTCCCTCCTACATCAGTAATTATAGAAAAACCTAGAAGTTTAGTAAATAATTCTTCTAGTTAAGTAGTTATATTTCGAACATAAGCACCATTTCAGTGTTGAAACACTTGTGTACAAAGGTCAAGCATCCTCTTCTTGTGTTAAGCAGCCAAGAGAAGGAAAGGTAGGGATGATTTAGCCTTCATATTTCTTTTATAAACCGTCAGAAACAAAGTGCTTCTCCCTTTGCTTTTCCTAATGAATCTTACAAATAATCGACGTCTTCCCCTGCAGAGGTAGTGAGGCAACGTCACATACAAGAGCTGAGCTACCTGTAGTGCACCCGTTGCCAAGGCACAACAGAACGATAAAGCCAAGATAGTTTTGTTTCATTAATAAAAACGTCCTCACCATATGAGAACGTACTAAAGAGTTTCATGAATATATCTGCTTTTACATCAGGAGACTCTACAGCAAATCCCAGATTCTACAAGTGGCTGAATTAAGTGAGTGTTACCTGCAGACGTCATTAGTGGGCTAAAACGCACACATGTGCCTTCATCTTCCAGTTCTACCACATCAACTCCACTGGCAGGAACCAGCTGTCCCAACTGCTCTCCTAGCTGAAGGGATAAGGCACAGTTAAAGAAACATACAGAGCATGACCTCCTGCAGTCACTGACTCAGGCTAGACTCTTCCCACAGTTAGGGAGAACCACATGCTAAACACGGTTCTTTCTATTTCTCAAAATCACTTCTTGTAACAAAATACTTTAGCTTGCTGGTGATATGACCAAGTTGGACGTATACTTAAAATCATGAAAATTCAGGATAAGCTATAAGTGTTAGAAGTCAGAATTTTCTGCAAAATTGCCATTGTCATTAAGTATGCCACAATTACTACGCAATTGATCCAAAACAGTTACGTGCTTAGCTCTCTGAAAGCACAGGTTCCTAGAATTAATTATCTTAAGACCTCAGAAAGAAAGACTGTCTGTTCATGACTACACAGACATTGTCAATGAAGTATCTAGCCGATTAAAGAGTTTGAAGTTTTCATGTATTCCCACAAGACCAAGGGGAAAAAAAATCCACCACCAAAAGCTTAAGACGCAGTAATAATTTCAGTTGTAATTACACGTTAAATAATCAGAAATGTGAAAGCAGCTTTGCTTCAGAGCAAATTCATCTTTTTAATCCAAAATGCCCACTAGTTTTGCAAAGGATATGAGGTCAAGAATAACTATCAAACTACCCTACCAAAGGTTTTATAACTATTGATGAACCCCTGGAAGCATTCCACAGTCACTTCTTTTTTTCCTAAAGAGAAAAAGCATCCATTCTTACCCACTGATTGAAAGTGTCATAAATGTGTCTTTCGCTGCTTATTATGGGATGCTGAATAGTTGAGGCCTGTGCAGCATGTGAGGTTTGATCTGAATCCAAAGATATAAGAATCACAGAAGTGGATTTTTATTTACTTAATTAAACAAAAGGCAACCTAAAATTTAGATAAAAGACAATTACATTTCCTAGGTAATGCAACACATCTACACGATGCACTGGACCTCAAGCAGACCAACAAGGATTTTTTTTTTTAAAGGTATACTGAACATGACAAATACTAGAGGTAAAATAGAGAGTTGAATATACTAGTTTTAAAAACAATCAATAAAATACTTCTCTCAGTTTTGAGGTTCAAATGCCCCAAAGAAAATAAAACCAATTGTTTCACAAAGCAAAATCTTGTTGCAGCAGGCTGCAATACTCAATTTGATGCATTCAGCTACTTTTTTCATCAAGTTTTAATGCTTGCTTTCTGTTTTAAACCACACAAAAATAATACTTAGGATTTGAGAGTCCATTATACACATAAAACATGCAGAAACGGCCAAACATCTTACATCCTTATGATTCAGGTGGGTGACTTCTCCCTAGTAAAGCTTTTCAAATAAGTACATCAAGGTACAAAGCACTCCACCAAGTCACCGGACCAGAATGAATAGGTTTACTTTGTAAGTGCAACCACTAAGTAGAGTAAAACCAAAACCAAACCTTCCCCCCGCCATGCTGAACACAAAAAAAAAATCCACAGACAATTAAAATCAACACTCTTGTAACTACGAAGTTTTGTAGTAGTCTTTTGCCTCATCCCAGCTGGACATTTCCCCACTCTCACAGTGTGCACATACAAACAGCACAACATGCTCTGTTGTAACCAACAGAACAAAAATTCTTTCTTGGAGAACACATCTAAGTAAGGATGTTCTGCTCAGAGCCACATGTGGCATGGCTACTGTATACTCATAACAATATTTCCAGAGCTGTTTCTAAGGTGTTCTGCTATTTTTAAAACTATTGCAACAGCAAGTGTAACCAGGAAAACAGAGAAACATGGTTCTTGCAACTGGCCACTAAAAATTTAGAAAGAACAGAAAGCTGAACAAAACCAGGGAAAAATCTTCCCCCATCAGTACACTCAAACACAGCTCGCAGCTTATGAAAGACTTCCATCATCTGCTCTCAAGATCAAAATCATATGCAAATCTCTCCTCACTCAAGAAGGCAGAAAATGACTTACGAAAATTTAAAACACTGCAGTCTATCTAAAAAAAGAAACTATCACATGTATGATTCTATCACTACATTATGACCAACACTCACAATCTTCCTAAAAGCATGTTACACAAGAGAAGTGCACTACATAACATTCACCTCATCGAGCTCATGTTACAAATGAGTAGTTTAAAAAACTATGAAGAGAGCGGGTTTAGTTTTGTTTTTAAATAAATCACATACCTCTATTTGAATATTCCCGGAAGAACCTGAAAACCACCACTGGTGAACTCAGTTCATCTTCAACCTTAAAAAAAAACCCACAAAAACCAAAACTGATCTATTTTAACATATTTTTTTAAAGACTTAACACTGTGTATAATTCCTTAGACTGCTGAGCAAAGCAGATAATTTTGAACAGTAACAATGTTCACGCTATCTCAGTATTAGAAATTAACTCAGGAGTGTGAGCACACGTATCTGTAAACACATGGAAGTAAATCCTTATTCAGTTAAAGCAGAGTTGTACTGATTTAAGATAAGCATGGTTAAAACTTGGGCACTATAAAGCAAGAAATCTAAGCATGTTCATTAGCAAATGCACCATACTAAACAGTTTATTTAGTTTTAAGTATTTTCAGCCATAGCGCTACAGTAACGTGAACTCTCAAAGCCACTAATAGTCTTGGAAAAACAATTTTTACATAAATGGTTATTGTCACTCAGAATGATCCATGAATTATGTATCGCCAAAGAAAACTTAAGCTGAATATATTTTCTATACATCAAGTGTCAATAAAAATTAGTGGAGAGGGAGGGGAGTAAAACCACCAAACCCTGTTGAACAGGACATGTAAAAACCTCAGCTGGGATAATTTTTGCGTACAGTTTCACAGGGCTCACAGTATCATCTCAACAGCGGGGTAAGACGCAGCCAGAATATATTAGAGAGGCTTATGGAAACTGGTTTCATAAATGTATTACTAAACAAATCCACGTTTTAAACAGAATTAAATCAACTTCTGGAAACAATTTCTGGATGTTGTTCTGTCAGCTCCACTAAGTGCATGAGTTCACAGCAATGGAACAAAGACAATCTAGAGGTCACACACAACCAAGCCGCACCATTTCACTGAACACCAGAACTTAGCTAGAAATATACCGCGCATCTTTAAAACAATGGCTACGATTTAAGTAATATTTTTTAAATTTTATTTTTAATTAAAGTTATTCTTATCATTTATCAAGCAAAGACTAAACTACACAGCAAAGTATTAAATGTAGACTGTACCGAAGTTTTAATGAAATCCAGGTTTTTCAAGTTTTCCAGCAACCTTTGACTCTAAAAGGCCACAGCAGAAGGAAAACAAAAGGAAGAGACAAACACACAGTTTTAGAAGTTGAAAATTATTCTGAAAAACATTCAATAGTCACTACCATCATTCCTATTTCTGAACAAAGCCTTTGACACATCAGAGATTCATCCAGTTCTTATTTGTAAATCTAGACTTTAATGGAAAAATATATTCTGTTTTTAGTAATATACTGACTACAAAGTGATTTTCGTTAAAATAAAGTCTTGGTGTGTTTGTTGACAAAGTTCCAGAGATATTACAACTCTGTTTACCAACTAAAGCACAGTGTGTAGCAGAACAGTTAATTTTCTCAAAGTTACCATAGCAACTGGTTATGATGGCTTTCTAAATGATTTCTAACATCCTTAAGATTGTGGTTTAAAACTATTAATAGACTATTATAAAAGCTAAGATCACTCCTAGATGCCACAAAACCTTAATGACTATGATACTTTGTCACTCTTCTAGGTCTTTCATGCCAATAGCTTCTTCATTAACTATTACAGAAACTTTCCATTTTGCCCTTCTTTGAATTTTTAGGAAGTGCTGTACTTTAAGGAAAAATGTTTTGCCTATAAACAATGCATTTTTTAACTAACATTATAATAGACCTTAATTTTCACCAGGGTAAAGACTCAACTTCAAAAATAGTGCACTTGCCACTGTATCTGAGGAAATGTTTTGAAGTTCCTTTTGTCAGGCATTAGAATTTACTATTACTTAAGTCAATATCATGCCGAGTAGGAAAATAAGAACATCCTTCTCTGAACAGCTTTCAAGCAAAATAGTTAAAATAGAAAAGTGACAAAAAAAATGATCATGTTATTTGACTGTTTAGAAAGAACAAAGATTAAGTACTTCTCAGTAGAAAAACCCTACTAAAATATACAATCTAATAGTAAAAGCACATCCCTCCCTCAAATACTTTACTCTGCTTTCATAATTTGTTTGTAACAAATGATATGAACCAATATTCTTCTACAATGCATCCCAATAATCAAGAAGATGTATTACCAGCTTTTATAAAAACATTCTTCAGTGTAACGGTGTTCTGTGATAGCCATCTGGATATCACTTGTACTGTCATTGCTATCTGAACTTTGTTTCTGCTCGGAGACTCACGCTGTTAAATCCAATGGTGAGGATTAAGGACAGTCTCCAACCCATACTCAAAGCAGCAAAGTATCCATGAGCAATGTGCCAACAAGCTGTTACTTACTAGTTGCGAGGCATGCTTTATCCTCTCCACAATCCCATCGTGGCCCAGGTACTGCAAGGAGAGCCACAATGGCAGGGCACGGAGCTTCTCTACAGGCTGACTCGATGTCAGCCCAGCCGCTAAGGACTGAAGAGGAAAACAAACAATAAACAAATCACTGTTAACCTCTCCAATTATTGTATTTTTGCCAGCTTATGGAATGTGTCACAGCTTAAATAGGGGAGCTTTTGCAAACTATAATTTAGATGCTTATGAAGAACAAGACACTACACCACGATCAAAATTGAAATCTCAAGATCTTAAGAATAATGACTGAGAAGTTCAACGTACCAAAGACGGATCCTCATGTCTGTAGAGTGTCACTGCAGGTACAGCAGGCAGACCCAGCCAGGAACCCAGAGTAAGAGTCATGCTGTCACATTTTGTAGCAGCCTGTTTATTACAATAAGCAAAATATAAGGCACAATATTTTGATTAGATCATGACCTTGAACTCTAGAGCACATTATTAAGTTTCTAGATACAGTAAAACGTACCAGTACAGAAGAGGAGACATAACCCAAAGCCAAAGTTGCCAAATTCACACTAGAAAAACAAAGTGGTTTTGGCACATATTAAAAATGTATTAAGAGACATAGCATTTTAATCTTCAGTTTAAATATTTCATGTTGATGTGTAGAGGAAGGTAATTTTTGTTAATATATTTTTTCATTAGCAATGCAGTAGATTTTGCTACTTGGTATTCCAAGATTGAAAACCCAAAAGTAAAAATCCATTTTGATCATCTAAAAATGCTTCAGTCCAACCTTTGGGGAAATCATCCCTCAAAGTCCTACCCATAATTCAGCATCAGTTTGGTATCAGAAATAATTTGGATGTAAATATAACACTATACAATGAAATATCAGGAGAAACAGAGTCTCTACTCCATGCTAAAAATAAAATAAAAAAAAAATAATCTTTGAGCAACAAAGTCTTCATTAAGATTGTCTAAATTATTGTAATTTATTTTCCTCTTGGTTTAATCTTCCTCCCAGTTATGTTGCACACTGCATTTGCAGCCATATTCTTGACAACCTTCATTAAAGTGTCATCTCTTCTACACTCATTTAATTCTCCTTTCTCATTCTCAATAACCACTGTAATAACATCTTCCCTGACTTGTCCTATACAGTCTTTTTATTTGTATTCCAAGCTCTTCAAAGCAAGGGCAGATAAGATTACCCCCTGAGTAAAAGTAACCACTAACCTATGCTGAAATAACCATTCTAATTAATTATTCCTGTATATGTAAACCAGTCTGTATCTCATACAATGACAAAATTATAACCATATGAAACGCTTAATATGACAAAAGTAAAGATGGTCCTATGGCCTCTACTAACTGGTTAGCTGTAAAATTATGCGTTGTCCATTAGTCAGGCTTTTTAATGAATATAGTTGTACAGAAATAAATGTTGAGTTTCATACCCTTCTACATGGAGCCACATATTATACTGCTCACAAAGCTCCTTCAGTCGGCCAAGTTTATCTGTATGCCCAGCACCTGGCGTCCCTTTGTTGAAAAGGAGAAAAGGCAATCACAAAGGATAAGCATGCAAACTAGGACTCTACATAAAAGGACCTCTTGCACTGTTGTCAAAAGTCACATGCAAGCACGAAAGATGTTTAAAAAGAGCCCACCACACGATATTTGTACTTGGTTGATCGTGACTTATAAGTAACTAGAATCCTAGACAAAAAAAAATAGAGATACTTGTATTTGCTTGTCAGTATGTTAAGAATACTTAGAAAATTAGATGTCCTATGCACTAAAATATTCTGCAGCCTCAGATAAGAAATGCAGATATTTGTAATATGTTCAAGGTATGACCTCAACTAAAGGAAACTAAACCAAGATTAACATCTTTGATACTTTTCCAATTCCAAAGCAATTAAGAGTCACCTCCTTCATTTGTACTTAAAACAAATTTTGTTCATGAACAGTTCTGTTTAACTAACTAGAAGAAAAACATAATTTTTAAAGTCGATGGCACATGCATCAAAAAATTCTGAAGTGTTAACGTGAAACTGATTTTCAACGAGATTTACACTCACTAAAATAAGTTCTAGTCATATTAATACATCAACGGACATAAGCAGAACTGCAGCAGTACAATCCAACTTTAACTCAGTTAAAATCTTCTCCAGACAGATAATTATTGTGTAGTCATTAAGATATTTCCTGATATTTCTTGACATGCAATCACTAAGTTATTTGAGAAAAATATATATTTATTTTGGATTTTATATATGTTCATGAAATAGCATGCTTTTTTTGTTCTTGTTTGTCCATAGCACTTACCAGCATTGGCCACAAGCAACAAAGGTAGTTTTCCAGATTCAATATCATCTTTAATCAATCTGTCCAACAAAGCAACATCCTGTTATTGATAAGAAAAAGATACGTATTTATAAATATGTTTGTCAAACAACACAGAATTGTTTCTGCTGAGCTGGAAAAATGCATTAAGAGTGAAAATTGACAGCATTCTGAAGCTCTGGAAGACATTCTTAATGTCTTTGTGGCTTGCAGTTTCTTCCTCTCAAAGGTAAAATAACCCAAAGTTCAGATACAGCATTTGTGAAAAATACAATACAAATACACCACGTAGTTTGTAAATGTACCCCTGACTACATGTATTCTAGAAATCTTGGACTGAAAAGCACCTTACTATATGTCATTAAAAATGCCTTGCAAATGACAAGACCAAGATACAATCTGTTGGCTTTTTAGAAGATTTCAATCTGTGATTTGTACAGCTATAAAACAGAAGGCTTAGAAGTTGAAAAAGTACAATAATAAGCTTTTCCTAGCAACATACTTGACGCTCATTTAATGATGTCTTTTAAAAAAAAAAGAGAAAAGAAGCAGAGCTCTAACGGATGACAAACTTACCATTTGATGTTGAGATCCAAACATAGTGTTACAAGGTACACGGCACATGCAAGAAAGGGGTAACCCCAGCTGCAATAAAAATGATGGAATGTCAACAACTGAGACACACTCATTTCAAGCGTTCACAGAAACATACAGTGACACAAAAAATAGTAAACATGACAATAAAAAGCTGGAAATTACATTAGAAAGTAAGTTTCCTGCTAAAACTTAAGACCAAATTAACAGCAGAGAAAAGAAAACACAAGAGAAACTGGAAAAAAAAACAACAGTCAACTTTTGGTGAGCACATCAACTGCATTCAGTTTTTCTAACAAGATACCCGTGCCCTGTACAACAGCCTAAACTCAATCCTCCTCTTCTTGGTCACCCTTGCAATTAATACATCCTATGAGCAAACCCGTGCTTTGTGCACAGGCCATTCCACCGGAGGTTCACAGTCACTTTACTACTTAGTAGAGAGCAATCTGCCTACTTGGATCATACAGCTCAGCTGACTACTCATGCTGGTAAGTCTGAAGTTCTTCCTTCACTACGGAGGCAAATTCCAGCTAACTTTTGCATCATTAACATCAGGGAGAGCTCAGGAATCACAGTCTCTCCTACATTTTGATCTCTAACCTGGAAGATCATTAGACAGGTGAAATCTAGTTGATCATACTCATCACTGAACAGAAGGTTCAGCAAATTAAGAGAACTACAGTTACAGATTAGTTGGGGTTTATCCTTTGATTTAACAGAAATTGAATTAATGTCTGATTACTCAGTTCTAATTGTCTGCTCTACAATGTACACTACTTCTCAAAATCTACTGAGGTTACTCCCAGTATGGACTTTGCTTCCTTTGCCTCTGTTTTATAATTATGCTGGAAATCACAATTAATAAAACAACACTAACGCTCTGAATAACTTTTTTTTATTACTAGCTTGCAGATCTTTGGCTGACATCGAAGTATGGTTTCACCTCAGACGACTCCCTTCCTCTCCCACCCCCCTTGTTTTGCTGTTTAATCACATCGCTATTGTTTCTACCACAAGGAAAAATAAGTAAGTTTTCAAAATCCAAGTTATGCTTTTCCTAAAATCAACTTTTTTGAGGCCCAAGCTGCGTCCTCATTCTTCAAAATGCCCCTTTTCACTCTGTGTTTCAACAGGCAGACACATCATCCTTGGTCTCAGAAACTTATAAAAATTATATAAGCTATAAAAATCTACTATGTCCATAGAAAGGCAAAGAAGCAACAAGGATGAAGGGAATCTGCTCATGAGGAAGTGAATGTGTGGAGGGAACAGGATAGTTGTAGAGACAGCCTGCTCAACTTCCTTAGGGATACATATGTTCAGTCAACACAGTAGCATTGGGAACAATGTGGAAGAAGCTTCACTTCTAACAGTGGAAGTTCCAGGAAGACACATGGATCTAAAGGTGAACTTTCACTTGCCCCAAATAATTTACAAGACTGCTGCCAGCAGTGTACCAGACTGCACTGCAAGTACCAATCTCTTGCAGGAAAAGTCTGAATATATTTTTAAAATCTAAATTTCAAGTAGGCAATATGAAGGCAGGTAGGTGCTACTTGCAGCTAAAACCCCAACTGATTCACTTTACCTGATTGCAGAGAGCTTGGCCCAAGCCTGTTCTAGCTGCAGAACTAATGTATATCACAGGTTGCTTAGTATAGAGCATGTTAAATCCTTCTACCGTGTAATCTTCATAGCGCGTGTGAATAACAAGTCGACAGATTTTTAGTAGACCTTCACGATCATCTTCATGATAATACGCTGATCCATTTTCATATCTGCAAGAAAAGCCAAGTAAATTTGACCAACAAAACCAATAGCCAGTTTAGTGACTAAACTAACACTGACCAGCAAAGGAGCTCACAAGACAATAGAGAAGACAGATAAACACTTCTATTTTCCCAGGATAAAGCAGAGTAGAAGGAAACATTGATGAGACAGGCTGAGATTAACAGCGAGGGAAGTCTAGTACATATTTTAATTTATACTCAGAGATAAAGTAAGAAAGAACAAACATCTGAGTTCCTAAGGATTTCCTTTACAGAGTTCAAAAATTTGCTTACTAAAGGCAGAGCCAGAAGGCTTCGTCTGGGTTTAATATGTAAATTCTGGACTGCTAATTATAAAGAGAACACAACCTGACATTCGTTAAGTTAAATGAATAAAATTGGAATGAAAGACACGAAACAAAGTAAATGGGCAGAAACTTGCAAACTTTATTATGAAATCACAAATCAAGCTATTTTGTAACATACAAGGTTACTGATGTCATTTGTATTTTAGAGAGTCTGGAAATAAGACCACAATTTAGAACAATCCATTCAGCACACTGCAAGACAGTTTTCTAGATGTTTTAAATATGTGAGTTACACAAACGAAGTATATTTTCCCCAGGAATATTTTAATGATTTTTATGGCTATTTTGCCTTCAATCTGATTTATTAGGCATGTTTCCTTGGGGCTTGTGGGTGTGGGTGTGTGTGTCTGTTCCTCCTCCACCTTTTTTAACTCTTCTAAGAATCAAACTCAGATCAGCACATTAAGATTGATAGTCAATAAACAGGAGCAAAGTAACCAAAGAAGAGATAAGGGACGCATGTTCCACATTGTGGGCTTTATTATTGCCTTAACCATAGAAAAGGAAACAGCAACAGTGACAGTAGTAGGTATGTCAATTTAGCAAGCAACTTAGAAGCTAGATTTTTCTTTCAGCATTTTTGTGCAACACTTAAATTGTGCCAGACCACTGATTTACAAGTGGCCTTTATCAACAAATTTACATAAAGGCCCTGAAACATCTTAGGTTACAACAGACTATCCAATGCACACATATTGCTGAGTATTCCAGAGTTAAACTCCAGAATGACCCACATGCAAACGTTTACTTCACCTTTACACAACAGTTCTGTCATCTAACATGGGCAAAGGGAAATTCCTCTAGTGCTGCTCATGGCCACAGAAAACGTCAAGAAATAGGAAGTTGTTCACAGCACAGTATTGGTTCAATGCTGCTGCCTATGGGTCACAAAACTTTGGGCACCACGGTTCGATAGATACACACCATTAATCTCTAAAGCACAAAGTTATTGAATAATTTATTCAAAATATTAATATTTCTTTTTGTTAGCCACACCATTTAGAAACATCACTGACGCACTTTTTATATACACCTACATTTGTCAGAAAAACTGGATTACCTGCAACTTCTCGAATTTCTTCATGGCACTAAGTTTCAACATCTTTAAGTCAAAGCCATAATCATTGAATTTATAAAATAATTCTGATAGAAGTGAGCCCATAAATGTGAGAAAAATAATTTGTAATTCTAACAACTAAATTTGGGTTAACTTCAGTTACATTTTACCATTTCATCTTACACTGCGCTAAACAAACAAACAAATAAATCTTTTCCTCAGTAGCACTGGCAAGATTTTCCGAAAGATACAGTATCATGAGAGGGAGAAAGTGGCAGGGTTGTTTTTGCTTCAGGAATTTAAAAAGGAATTTCTAATTAGTGAATCTCCCCCACTCCAACACCTCCGCACAGTTGATTTCCATTCTTCTCTTGTGGAACAGTTTAAGATACCTATGCTACGTGATGAAACAGGCATTTATGGAAGATTTCACTGTACTGTAAATTTCAGTAGTGTCACCTACCATACTTGGAAAAATAAACTAGATCCAGGAAGAGCAAAAAAGAAGTTAACTGAAAACGTCTTTTAAAAATATGAAGTACTCCAAGCCTCAGCAACATAGCATATGCCTTGAGAAATCAGAATTTAGTTAAATGTTTGGCCTACTAGATGTCTGCAACTGTTCTTTGGTTCTTAGCTCCACCATAGAGCCCTCATAAAAGGATTTTTAAGGCAAGCATGTTACTAATAAATTCCTGCCACTCAATAAAAAAATCTTTTTTTTTCTTTTTTTTTTCTTTAATGATGTGATGTGTTTCAGACCTTTCAAAGAATATTTGTAAGTTTGTTTCACAGTGGTTTCTTTTGTTGACATCCTCGGTCCAGTCACGCATATTTTTAAATGATTATCAGTACCTAGTGATACATAAGTTAATCACAGTGACTTACCTGAAAAGCCTGCAGAGCCAGAGAGTAGTATCAGAAAGGATCCTCGTTGTAAGTTTTCTCAGTCTTTCCCTGTCCAGCACTGATATATAAGCTGCCAAACTATGTCCCAGTAGAGCCATGTGACCCTGTTCACCAACATTTTGAAGTCTGCAAGCCAGAACAGAGTAACTGCCAACTAAAACAAGTCATGAACATTACAGTAATTTTAGGCTTGCTGTTTTCACTGTAGAGTGGCAGAATTTGTTGACATGCAATTTTAAATATTCAGCACAGAGAAGTACAGTATACTACACCACCTTCCTGCCATTGCATACTAACGTACTAGATGCCGCTGCAGACAAAAGCACTGGTGCTTCACTTGCCCTAGCTGCGTAGGAGAATACCTCAGCTGCTTTTTTAGCCAAACACCCAGCATGGGCTGGAGCTAACACCCCATCTGCGCTGCACCCTTAACGTGCATTGAACACATACCTTTCCCCATGCAGAGGAAACTCAGGAGACTTATTCTTTAGAGTTGTAGCTTTCATTAGTTTGTTGGGTTTTTTTGTTTGTTGGGGTTTTTTTGTTTGGTTTTTATAATCTCCAAGCTATTTTTCAAATATTAGTTTTCAATAATCTTCTGCAGATTAGTATTATTTCAATTTTACAGAAAAATGGAAACTAATTTTAGTTCCTTTTTTTTTCTTTAAAATCTACAGGAAGAGATGGTAAAAAAAGTGATTGGTATTCAAAGTTTTATAAAACTTTCAGACTTAAAACAACTTTCAGAAAGTAGAAAACAAAATGAGCTGCCACATCAGAAACAATTCCCCTGTGCTTAGTAATTAGACATGAAAGCTTTATACTTTTAAGAAAGCCAACCTTAATGGATTATTCTGGTTCACTATATAATGTCAGTTGCCTTAAAAAGTTACATGGTTACAGAATATCTTTACACTTCAACGCACTTAAACGTATATGTTCTATAATAACCGGAATATAACAAAATAATGTCTCTTCCATGTAAATAATTCATATTGGCTTTACCGGTAGGCTTGCGAAGTTTCCTCTTCTTCCTCTCCATGCATTAGGTTCTGAACTAACTGAAGTATGCTCACCATATCCTGGCCACTGGTGTACCAGGGAAGGGAAAACAAAAACCACATCAAACAAGAAGGTAAGTCCCAGCACCCAACAAAGATGCCACTTGTGACACTGCACAGTAAGACATGAAGACAACACTGCACTTTTACAGAACACTGAGTACAGCAACAAAAATGGTTCTTTGCTCTCAGAAAAACAGATCATGAAGACAAGGTTGCTGAATCAAAACCCTAGTTAATTACAGCAGGACACTTCAATAAGTATGAACTCAGACTCACAGGAAAACAAATCTATTGAAATCTGAAAATCTGGACTGTAAAGTTTGACTGGACAATGTTTAATTGCTTATTGCTACACAGCGAAGTAAGGTAACAGCCAAGGATCCAAATTTCTCTTCACATTACCCAGTTTCAGCTCAAACTCAGCACATCTCAAACAATCACCTACAAATACTAGTTTCTGACAAACAAAAGCTACAATATGCATGTACAAAGCTACATGCATAAGTTGGTAAAACTGGAAAAGACCTACAACACTTCTACTTGTATAATTCCAACTAAAATTTACAGCAGTATAAGAACTCACACTCTTGACAGCTGAAATTGCTTTTTATTCTTAGAAAAGCTAATTCAGTGTCTCCACTCAAAACCAAGTTTAGTTTATGTACACAGAAGACTTAAATAGATTTTGCAATGTTTTCTGAAGGCTACCTTGGGCTCCTGCAGGATCCTCTTCCAAAGAGGCTGCAATCAATTTAAATCTTAGTTTCAGGTACAATGATCTTACCCACCTTATGCATAAGAGCTCCATACAATTTTTAAGACAGCTGTGCGGAAAAGGTGGGGTTGTTTCAGTTTTGTTTTGGGAGTTTTTTCAAGGTTCTCTACCTTATCAGCCTCAGTTATTACTTTTTTTTTTAATCTGGCTGTTTTAATGAACCTTTATTCTATAGCGCAAGTTTATCTATACTTACTTTAAGTCACAATCACAGCTGTACACACCAATACTTAATACAGTTCAAAATTTCAGTTACCAAGGACAAGTAATTATTTTTTTTTTCCCCTATGTGAGTATGGAAATAGTTGGTATGATGCTAATCTTCCCACTGCAACTCCACATCAGTATGGCAAAAGCTGATATAATGCCTGGCCTGGTAAACGTTCATGTTTGCATTAATACGGAAGTTGTGTGGAAAATAAACATTACATGTATTTTACACATTCTGAAAAGTACAGAGCTTTATCTAAAAATTGATGTTGCGTACCTGCCTTGGAGTGGTCCAGGAATATCCTTCCGTGCGTACTTCTTTTCATTTTCTTCTTCTACTTTTCTAAGTTAAAAAGACACAAGAATAAACTAATTATTATAACATCAAATATGTAGTTGACTTTGACTTGCAGAGATACATCCTGATATGATTGCAATCTTTTTCACTGACAAAAGTTTCATAAATAAATCAGGTAAGACCAACACAAAAGTTTAGCTGAGACTGAATTGAAGAGTTCCTAAGTTTTGGGTTTTTAGTTCTTTAACAGGAAACATCACACTTACAAAAGCATCTCATATATACAGGAATCAAAAGTTACTTGCACAGCAACAGGAAAAAAATAAAACTAACATCTCTGAATAAATAGACTTGCTGGACTTGCTCTGAATATTACAGAGCATGCATAAAACATATATTTACTTTAAAAATCCCATCATTTGAGAAAGAATGGTGAGTTATATAGATGCAAGCTTCAGAACGATAACATGACCGTAAACTACTAGGAAAAGGAGTTATTTCCTGCTTAATGACAGTGACATTAATAATCCTCCCCTTAGCACGAACAGCTACTGGTTTTGTAGTTGTTATCCTTTGCACACACCTTTGATTGTCTTCTAGCATCTTCATTGCTTCATTTAGATTCTTTCCCATTTCTGCTAGAGTAGGGTCGACCATCTTTTAGGGAAAAAGATAACAACTTTTATGAAAAGACAAAAAAAATATTTATCTTACTACTGTCCTCACAACATCCTCAATATAAATTCACGCATCAGGCAGATTCTTTTAATTAGTCTGTGTGTACTCATTTAAAAATAACATTACATTGTATACCTTGAACTCAAAACATGCAAAAGGACAAGATATTACTAACCTAAAAAGAAAACCAAATTGTGATCTGTATTTTATTACTGATAGACCCTTTTTTTTTTTCCCCCACGAGGAGAACTTTTTCCAAAATCTTCTTTAATTTCTAGATAACTCTTTTGGAGTCTGATGAGACTAATTAAAGAAAGAGCATCAGAAGGCAAGAAAGATTTGAGAAGTGCAAGATGTTCAAGGAAGTGCTCATTATAATGCTTTAGCTAAATAAAAAAAAAAAAGTATGTGCCACTTTAGCCCAACTGAATAATTTTTTATTTTTCATAACCATTCTACATCAGCAATATAACTTCAACTATTCTCTTAAATGTAAAAATTCATGTGCACTTCTATCCAAAATTGAAAAGAAACACAATAAACAACCCTCCCCGCCCTAAAAAAAAAAAAAAAAAATCAACAAAAACCTGCTAAGAGAGACTCTAATCTTTCTACAGAGTATGGAAAACAGATTGACAATCCAAATACAATTACAAGTCTTTCAGTGGCAAACCTCATTTAGAAATTATCCCCTTACTTCGCCTAAGAACTCATGCTTCTGCACCAAAAAAAAACCATTACCATATCCTCAGCTGAGCTGACCCCACAGTCAGCTCTAGTGATGTACAGACTCTCATTAAAAAAACAAATGAAACAAAAACCACACTAGCCTCTCTGCCATTCTAGTAACGGGGGAAAAACAAAAACATAAAAAAACCCGGACAAACAAAAAACCCCCAAACAACTAACCACCAAATGAGAGAGCGATAAGCAGACAGGTACAACACTATTCTTACAAGAAAGTTACCTTCCAGAAAAGAAGTTGTTTGGGAAGCTAAACACTGAAAAATTTGAGCAAGGCAGGTTATAGGTCATTGAGCATGTTGATACAAATTCAGGGGGAAATTTGCATAAATTGACAGTTCATTCATTCTTTTTTTAGATTGCCAGTTCAAGTAAGAGGTATTCAAACACATTCAAGTAATAATTCCTAGGAAAGAATAAAAAAAGCCAACATTTCTTAGCTAGGAAACACAAGAAGAAATCATTTAAGACTGCTCTAGCAAAAGCAGAAATAAAACAGCAGTTTCTCCTGCCGTTTCCCCATTCAGGTTTCTCTGTCAAACTTTTGTAGTTTTCAAAACAGATGAATAAACACCTAATCCAAATCCTCTTGTAAATCTATTTCTTATTTCTGGTACCTTTAAACCAATTTTTAATCTTAACTTACTGGAGAGATGCTCTTTTACTAGACAAAAGGGTAAAACCGACCGGCAACACACAGCTTAAGAAAGGCTGACAAGCACAAAAGGCTTATCTTCCAGCAGTTGCAGCCCTCCAGCTACACAAAACAGCTCAAAAATCCTAAACTCACTGCTGAAACCAGGAAACAACAGATACCTGTTAAAGAGCCTGTCAGGATCCAAGAGCTTTAAAAATCATTGAACTTATTTCCCCTGAACCAGTGACAGTTCAAAGACAAGTAAGTAGTATTTTCCAAAGAACTGCTTTTGCTTTGAAGAAGTCTCTTTTATGAGCTTTAACCCAAGAATCCTGCCGGGAGCTCGTGACACTGACACAAGAGATCTGAACAGGTACATTTATCCATTTAAGTATTAGATGCCACCTAGAAGCTTCCAGAGAATGTGAAATGTATCACTTAGCAGAGTCTGATTTACCTGTTGCGGTCAATATTAAACTGGATTTGAAAAATAAATATACCCCACTATGAAGGTAAAAGGTAACACCACTGATGTGACCCATCACATTAGATGGCAAAAAAACTAAGATACTCAGGTGACCCTGTTACACAGCCTCTTCTCCCTTCCTCTGCTTCCCAAATGTACTGTAAGCACAGACTCTATAGGTTCAACATCAACCCTTTTTGAAAAGATCAGCCCACATACTAAGGCCTCTAGTACTTAACCTTTTAGACTGCTGCTAAGATTGATGGGGGTCCTGGGAGTGGCAGTTCTTTTGGGAAAAACAAACAAACAAACAAAAAAACAACAACAAAGTAACAACCAACCAAACAAAAAACAACCAAAACCAGAACAAGTTTAATATTTAAACTCACACTATCCATGCTGCAGGAATATAACAGCTTGCCTGCTACAGTATTTGAAAAACACTTTCCAACACTGCTGATGGAAACACGGGCAACTGTTGCACACATGCAACACAGGCAAATACGTTTCCTCATGCAGATGCAAAGACAAAAGCAAATTTAATCACAGAAGGTAGTGGGATTAATTTAAATGAGGATTTTACACTATTTTGATCCTTAGGAATTATCAAGAAAATAAAAAAATAAGTTGAGAGTTACCATATGTTTGAAGACTATTTTTACCAAAACATTTAGAGATTTAACTCATATTATAGCAAGTGGTAGGTGGCTGAAAGAATCAGTAGCCAGGCATGGTCACACTGGATCAAACCAGGATTGACAGCTCTCTGTGTTCTGTTGCTTCAGAAGTGGCCAGTAACAAATGTTTGGGGGAAGAATAAAAAATAGTGCAAGAATTAAATAATATTTTCCCATAAGAACTCCCAGCATTTAGCAATAAATGGGTTTTACACTTCCACCTTCTACAACATCCACTGGCTATGAGGTCCACAACTTAACCGAGCACTGCATGAGAAAGCAGTACAAATACAAAAAGTTCAATACCCCGTCACAGAAATTAAAACAAATACACACACTGCAAGCATCTGATACTCAGAATACAACATATATGTAGTCAGAAGAAAAATTTAAATATGATCATTGGTAATATTTCCATATATTTTCAGTGGTTTCCAAGTTGTACCACATCAAAGAAATCCTGAAAAGAGATCTTACTTAAGAAATCAGCTTTGCCCCTGGGAGACTTTAAGAGACTAACTGGCTAGACAATTTACTGATTGCAACTATTTTGCATACTTAAATTCAGGTTGCCATAAAACACGATCAATGGCTGGAAGGTAGTTATTTGCTTGAAACTTCCTCAGCATCACGTGCAAATATTCAAACAGATCTGTTGTAGATGAGGAAACAAGATGTAGAGGCATTACAAAAAGGGCTCTGAGCTGCTTTTGTTTGTTACTGACACAAAATTCACCTGCTGGAATTACATCAGATGTTATAATCCACATATGTTTACTTTGTGACTCATCTCGTCTCACTTACTAGTAATTACACATGCATGAAACCCTTCTGCAAATAAGATGTCAGAATAAATACAAAAAATACAGCTTAAAAAGTCATAAGAAGCTACAATAAGCTCCATAAAATGCTATGAAATCAAGCAAGTCTTTGAATTCTGATGTGGGTTGAATTGGAAAATTAATCCCTTCTTCTTTGTTTTTTTTTCCAATTGCTAAGTGGACATGTAGCAACTTACTTTCTCCTTCGAACTACGGGAAGCCAAAAAAAAACCCCCAACACCCTTTTACAGCTGCATGCTGAATTTTCTATCTGCTTCCTCCTCTGCTCACATTAGTAAGGGCATGGAGGTGGGAAGCAGAAGACTATCTACTTTTTTAAGCAGCAAGTAAAACAGGTGTGGCACAGCTGCAACAACAAACCACTCGGTTAAGAAAGGTTTCTGAACGCATTTTAACAACATGCCATAATAAAGCAGTACATTACTTTAGTTTAGTCTGTAAACAAGATCAAGTGTGTATAAAATCCAGTCAGTAATAAACAGACAACTTTCACGTTCCTGAACTGCTTTTAGAAAGACTGCCAGCCAGATGAGTTCTGGACCACACGACCTCCTGAACCACAGGACAGCACATTTTTTGAGGAGGTTAAAACAGCTGCATTAGCCTGAGCTTCTGCACTCAGTTCTTCCCCTGTATCAAAGGATTTCACTCCGATTACACAGGTGATCCTTTGACCAGATGAGGTACAAGGCATGCAATGTCCTTTCAAGCTCTACGGAGGCACCTGCTTCTTCCTTCAAGGTGCCCACTCAGCACCCTGACAACTCCTGCCTCCTTAAGCCCTTCAAAGACTCTGACATTCACTACCTTACTTCGATTTTTATCACTTGTTGCCTTCAAAATGTGTTACTCCAATTCACTAAAGTTAACTTGCAATAGATTTGATTTGTGGTTTCTTCCCTATTTCACAACTAATCTGTTACTATTTTTTTTCAGCACTTTGAACTGTAAGACATTCCTGGTTTTATAGGCAGCATGTCACACCTTGGGGTCACTTGGCAACTGGGGAAGGGCAAGGGTCCATCTCCAGTTGTGGTGAGACTGAACGTTAATTACAAATTCAAAGAGAACATTGCTTCATATAGCAATGTTGTACAATTTTTATTTTGCATTTCCATAGACTGTACTCCTACGTAAGAAAGGGATGTTTTTTAAACAGTCTACATAAACTAGTGTGTGTGCAAAGAAACTCACAGGTGTAGCTCAAAGTATTTAATGAGAAGTATGTCTCAGTTTCCCACTACATTATTATATTTGTCTAGAAGAAAGTTTTACCATCAAAAAACAAAAACTGTTCTCAACAGTAAATTAGTGTCAAACAATATCAGTATTCTTCAGCCAAAAAAACTGCAGGATTTGCATGCAGGTCTGCTGTCACGAGTTTTCCATAAAGTTGGCAGGATGTTGTGGTAATCAACGCAGTAACAAAAGCCAAAAGTCAAAGGCTGAGCAAGAAACCAAAACAATTTTTTCATGTTTAGGGAGAACACTGCTGTAGAGACAGCAAGAAGTTACAAGGAAAGAATTTGTCCTATTTTATCATAGACAAAGTCACCTAACTTGAAACTTACAATGTTAAAATCCTTCAAAAGATTGGTCACTTCTATCAAAAT